TCACATTGGGGTGCCCTGGAACAGACTCACGGCATTTAGAATGTTGCATCGAAGTCACCTCACAAGGTGGGCGGGGGGTGGGGGCTGGGCATCTGGGTTAGCACAGAAGTAACCAGAAACCTAAATCTGTTTAGAATGGTTTGGGGTTCAGTGGCACTGAACCCTGCAGCGCTGCCTGGGGGCCCCAGAAATCCTTGCTCCCTGGACACTATAGGCAGGGAAGCCTGTGCACTGGCCCAGCTCTTCAGCTTCTTGCTGAATCCACAGAGCTAGCCCCCGGGGGCCCCGGCTGAAGGTGCACCCAGCACGCCTGGCCTGAGGTTTCAGGGCTCGGCTCACACCGCGGAGGCAGCAGCTCACGCCCTGGCAGCCCCTGCTCGTTGCCAGCGATGCTTCCGGCGCCCAGCGAGGGCAGCCACTTGCCGGCCTCCCAGCACTCAGCCCTGGGCTCAGGCCAGTCTCAGAACCAGAGAGCAGGACGAGGCCCGGGGCAGGTCCGTCTAGAAAAGCAGTTTGAGAGCCAGAGGTGGCCAGAGGTGGGTGCCACCGGTGGCTCCCGCTGGTCTGAACCTTCGGGCCAGGACTGAGCACCAGGACTGTGTCCTCAGGATGCCCTCCATTCTCCCCAAGCGAGTAGGGGCTCCCTTGACCTACATGGGGTGGGTCTCCAGAAGGCAGCGAGGCCTCAGGCTGAAGGTCTCTGGAGGCCACCCTCAAGCCCATGGGCCCTCCCAGCCTCCAGCTCTGGACCAGCCTCAAGGCCAGGAAAACGTGGCCTCTTCCAGGCACAGTCTCCTCTCTGGGCACTGGGGGGGGGGGGGCGCGGAGCCCTGCGCTGGGAGGGCCTGTGCCTCTGCCCTTAAAGCGGTGGGGCAGCAGCGACCTCAGGCCTCTGCCAAGCCCCAGCCCAGGCTTCCCCAGCCCACAGGGAGCCGGAGGAATTGGACTGGGGCGCTGGACCTGGCAGAGGGGGCGGAGCCTGGGGCCTGCGATGCCAGCTGGGAGAGCCTGAGGGAAGTGGGGCAGGTGGACCTTCCCGAGGCAGGCAGGGCCGGGCAAGAAGTGGGTTGCTTTTCCTTCCAGCCCAGCACCCCACGGGAGGGTTATTCGCGCCCAGCCCAGGGGGAGGGGCTTCCTGGGGAAACCGAGGCAGGAAACGCAGCACCCCCAAGGCCCCACCATAACGGTAACCGGCAGCTCTGACAGGCCCGGCACCAGCTACTCCGGCGCCCCCGCAGTTCTCCCCGACAGTCCTGCCTCTCCCTCTGGCCTACGGCCTCTGGCCTCCGCCTCTGCAGGCGCTGGAGGCCAGGGCTACGCCCCAGGGCAGGTGAGCCCTCTCCCCTCCCAGGTGGTGCGCCACAGGCGATGAGGACGTTCCTGCAGCCCAGGGGCGGGAGTTTGAGCTTGTTGAGAGCAGCCGCGGGGCTGTGCTGCCCAGTGAGGGGCTGGCCGCACGGGGCTCCCCAGGGCCAGGGGAAAGGCAGGCGGGCTGCTGGTCCCTCCAGCCCGCGGGTGCCCGGGACTCCCCAACCCGGCTCCCCATGGGATGATCCTCCTCCCGCCCTCCCCCATCCGCTTCCACCGTGGGGACCCACACCAGCTTCCGCCTTTCTGTCTCTCAGCCAGGAACTCCTGCTGCCGGCTGGAGGGGTCGTGGAACCCCACCTCTATGTAAGTGTGGGGTTCAGCCCCCCTTTCAAGGAGAAGCAGGGTCCCTCGCCGGCTGGCGAGAGACCCAGCAGAAACTCCTGGGGGAGGGGACACTCTAGGCGGTCAGGGGAAGTAAGGCCCGCGGTGATGTTGGGGTAAGGTCACTGGGCTTGGCGTTCTGGCCTTGGGCACCCCCAGAACTGGTCAGGAGTCTCCGGAAAACCTTGGGGGAGAGAGATGAGCAGTCGACAGAAAGACGCCCCAGCCAAGGCCACCGGGAAGTGACAAGAAGTCGTCCTGGGGGTTCTCGGTGCGCTGAGGCCTAAGCCCCCCAACACATCCCCAAGAACCCCCTCACATGCTCTGGGGGCGCAGAAGAGGCCGAGGCGACAGACAGCACAGCAGCTTTATTGACCAGAGTGGCAGCAGGACACAGCGAGGGGCGTGTGCGGCCCACTGGCGGGGAGACCGGCGTCCCCAGCGCCGCCCCCCAGACGCTCCTGGGCCCACTGTCGCCCCCCAAAGCGAAGGGCAGCGAGGGCCCAGGGCCTGGAGGGGCTGGGGAGGCTGGCAACACCCAGGGCAGGGAGGGCGCCGGGTCCATGCCTGCCGGGCAGCCAGAGGGCGGCGAAGCGTGCAGGGCGGGGGCGTGCGGGCGGCGCCGGTCACCACACGGAGCACTTGCGGGCAGGGTTCATGGGCGAGTCCTTGGGGCAATGGAAGGCCCGGCCGAACTCCTCGAACTGGGACACGCTGCCCAGCACCCTGGGGTGGGGGAAACGCGTGAAGCGTGGATCCCCATGGCCACCACCTGCTGCCCCCGGACACAGGAGATGCAGCCCCAGCAGGCGGGTGGGCGTACCTGTAGTGCTCAGGTGCATGCTTGTCGGTCAGCACCTGCAGGTAGATGGACTGTGACCGCCGCTTGATGCACCAGTTCTGGCCCGGGGGAGAGAGGGGAGGGAGCTGACCAGACCTGCAAGGCTCCCCTCGCATCAGAACCCGTGGGGCTTCGCCGCCGAGGGTGGCGGGGGAATCAGGCTGAAGTGCGGCCCGTGCCCAGCTGCCCCCCGGCCGCCCCCGGCTGCCCTGGGCCCACCTGGGCAAAAGCAATGAAGAAGAGCTGGTTGTGTGTGTACTTGAGGCGGTGCAGCGGGTGCTCTGGGCCGTGCTCCCGGACCCACTTCTGATAGGCCTGGGGCACAGAGAGGACAGAGGCGCCCACGCGCGTGCTCCCCAGTGGCCCCAGGGGCCCCAAGTCACCCAGGAGGCTGAGACCCTGAGCCCTCCTCCCAGGGAAGCAGGCTCTGGGCAGACGTCACCCTCCAGGCAGCCCTCCGGCTCTCTCCAAGGTGGGGCTCCACCTTTTTCAGCGTCCCTGTGCCTAGCACAGGTCAGCGTTTGGCAGGATGGGAAGAGGGGTGACTGAGCCTCTGGGCCAGCCCTTAGCAGCCCCCCCAGGGATGGGCCCCGCGGGCAGCTCACGTAGTAAGCCAGCTTGAGGCCGCCCATGTCCGCGATGTTCTCCCCAAGCGTGTGCTTCCCGTTGACCTGCCAAGAAGGGGAGAGGCCGGGGGGTCCGGGACCGCCGGCCTCCCTCGGGCCTCGCCGCTCTGGGTCCTGCCCCCGTTTGCAGAGGGTTTGGGCGTGAACACAGCCATGCGTGTGGGGCAAGGGGCTTGTTCAGCCACAGACGTGTGCGCGTGGGTGTGTGCAGCGAGGGTCTCACCCGCTGGTTGTAGACAGTGAAGTTGTCATAGAGGTGGACGATACACTCCGCCTTGCGCAGGAAGCGGCTATAGGAGGCCTCGGTCCACCAGTGCAGCAGGTTGCCCGCGCGGTCATACTGACCCCCTGTGGGCAGCGGGCAGAGTCACAGCCCAGAGCCAGGCCCTCCCCCCACCTGCCAACAGGACAGAAGAGTGCTGGGCCCCAGGGCACCCCGCCGCCCCCAGACCCCACTCCCTGTCCCCGCCCCCTCGGGCCACCCACGGGCCTACCCCAGTCATCGTAGCCGTGGGTCAGCTCATGCCCGATGATGGTCCCGATGCCCCCGAAGTTCAGAGACCTGGCCATGGCAGCAGCGTCAGGCCGACCTCACTCTCCTGAGGCCCCCGGCTGCTGCCCACGCCGCAGGTGGCCCGGCCAGGCCAGGGGGCGCCCCGGGGCCCCGTGCCTGCAACCGGCCTGCTCCCTCGTGGGCTCTGGGCCACGGCAGTGTCGCCTGTGCAGCTGCCTTTACGAGCCTGCACCCCAGAGCGGGGCTGGGGGCAGGAAGCAGGGCTGGCGGAGACGGGGGACCTGAGGCGCCCCACGGGGATCTGGCCTCTTGCTGCCTCACTGGGACCTGACGTGGCTTCCGGGACATGGCCAGAGGCCTCCGCCGGCGAGCCGGGGCTCGGCACATTCAGGACATGAAAAGCCCGGCGCATTTTTCGAGACTCCCACGGAGCGGGTGGGGCCGTGTGGACCCCAGGCCGCGACTGTCTGACTCGCAGCCGGGTCCCCTGGGAGGCGGGGCAGCCCCCCACACACACCCCCAGCCCCCCGCAGCTCGGGCTCCCGCAGCTTCTGTACTCACTGGGGAAAGTCAGGGTCATAGAGTGTGGGCTGCAGGATTCCCGCGGGGAACACTGCCGGGGCGTGGTCAGAGGGAGACAGCGGTCAGCGCAGGGCCCTGCAGGCCCCGCCCTCGCCCCGCCCAGCCCCAGGCCCCGCCCCGTTTGACACGCCCCCTCACCCATCTGGTTCTTGTTGGGCAGATAGTAGGCATTGAGTGCCTGTGGGGGCAGCAGCCACCTGTGGAGGGAGGGGGTCAGCTGAGGGGTCCACTACGCCCCACCGCCCGCTCTCCTACCCCGCTCCTCGGAGGCTTCTGGAGGCCCAGCCTACACCCCGTCCCCCAGGGCAGAACTGCTGGGGCCCTGGGCCCCCAAACCAGCTGGCTGTGAGGCAACCGGTTTTCCACTCTAGCCTCCTGGCCTTGGAGCAGAGGCTCCCCCATGACCCCCCCCCCGGCACCCCCCAGGTCCAGGCCAGGCACCCACGTGGACTTGTCCACCTCCTGCCTGATCTTCTTGACGGAGAGCTGGATGCTGAAGCGGATGCTGTTCAAGATGTTCTTGAAGTAGGTCTTCTCGTGGACCTCAAACTGCAGGGGAGGGTCACTCTGCTCAAGCCAGGCCGCCCCCTCGCCCTCAGGGCCTGTCAGCCCCAGGCGGGGTTCTTCCTGCCTGCTGGTGGTTCTGCCTGGGCTCCCAGCCAAGGGCTGACCTGGCCTGATTCGAGGCACACCCACCTCATACTCCCGGTCCACGGCCTCCGGCTTGAGCAGGAAGTCCGGATAGCCCACCATCACCATCATGTACTGGAGCTATGGGCAGGCATGGTGAGAGTGGGCAGGGCCCGGGAGCTAGCCCCCCACCGACCCCCAAGGGAGTGAGCGCTAGGGCAGCCTAGGGTGGGCACAGGAGGGACAGCAGGTCGGGGATGCCAACGCGCACGAGCCTTCGCGCCTTGTTTCCCCAGCACCCACGCCAGTAGGCGCTCAAGTGGAACTTGTGTACGCAACCAGTAAGTGGGAACAGCGTGCCCTTCACCTTGGCTCGGGCAGCAGCCTTGGTCTCAGCGTCCATCCAGTCCAGCTCCTCCAGGCGCTGGCCCAGGATGGACTTGATGTCCTCTACCAGCTGCTGCACCTGCAGGTCAAGGCAAGGCTTTGGCTCGAGGCCTCCAGCACCTTGCGAGAGAGTTCCCCCGTGTTCAGTACCGCTTCACAAGACCAGAGCTTGGTGCCCAGTGTTCGGGGAAGACATTAGACTTGGGGATGCAGGCACTGTACCCCAACAAAAAGCTCACAGCCTGGACGGGGACAAACTGCCCCAGCCACGTTCAGACAGACCAGAGAGGCCCCGGGGGGAGGAGGCCTGGTGAGGAGTAGCCGGCGCCCCAAAGAGGGCTGAGCCCTGAGCCCGGCCTGGATGTGTGGGCCCCCCTCCCCCCGTGCCCAGGCCAAAGGCCTGCGAGGGCTCCAGCCCAGCCCGGTTCCCGACCCACCCGAGCCCAGGCAGCTTGACCTTGGCCTTGCTGGTGGCGGAGAAGTGCTCGTGCACAAAGAGGGCGCCGAGGGCCATGCCGAAGTGGCGGTTGGCCTGGCCCAGGCAGACCCGGGCCAGCTCCTGGGGCTTGTCGCTGCCCTCCATCTCGCGGGCCAGCTCGTGCAGCGCCTCTCGGAACGGCGGCGACAGGTGCTCGCTAAGCACCACCACCACGCGCCACACCAGGTAGTTGTGCAGGACCCTGGGGGCCGGGAGCAGCGGGTGTCCGACAGGCCTGGCCGGGGGCGCCCCGGCCCACCCTCACCCCGCGTGCCGCTCAGGAGCCGGGGCCATTCCAGGTCTGGGGACGAGCGCCCGAGCCCCCGTCACGAGGAAGGCTGGGGCACCCGCGGCAGGACACGCCTCCCCGAGCCAGAGCCTGATGCCGCTCACAGGCCAGCGTCCCGACGGGCTGTGGGCTGGGCGCTGGCCTTGAGAGGCCTCTGCTCTGGTGCAAGGCAGCAGAGGCCAGGGGGGCTCTCCCTGGAGTGGACCGGGCCGCACTTTCCCTTCTCAGGTCAGCACACCCCCACAGAGGAGAGGCTGCCACTCGGAGGGCTCACAGCCCCCCCTGGGCCAGCGCAGAGGTAGGAGCGACACGGCACCAGGGCTCTGGACCCCTGTCCAGCGCTCCTCGCAGGCCTCCCCGTGCGGCTACTGGACAGAGGTGGAGGTGGACATTCAAAGCTCACCAACAGACGGTTCTAGGTGCGGGGAGGCCGGGCCAGTACCTGCGGGGCGTGGAGCGGATGAGCTGCGACAGGTGCTGCATGTACTCTGTGGCCAGCAGCACCACCTCCTCGTCCTCGGAGAAGTCCTCCTGGAAGATCTGGTCCAGCAACCATTTCCACCGCAGCTGCGGGGCGTTGGGCGGGGACAGTGGGTGGGCACGGCGGGGACCACGGAAGACAGGAGGGCCGTCTTCTGTGGGCAGGGGAGCCCAGGGCCGTGGGAGGTCTGACCCGCCCAGGGGAGGGGACGGCGGGAGTGCAGCCCCCCCAGGCCCGGGCCACTCACCGGGGGGGCGATCCTCTGCAGCTGCCCGAGCGTCACCTTGTTGTACATGGAGCTGGCGTCTCGTCGGAGGTCATCGTACTCCGACACCGTGATCTGCGGGTGGAGGTCAGAGCTGACCAGCCTGGCCCATGGCCTCTGCCCTCAGACCAAGCAGTGCCCGCTCACGTTGGCCAGCCGCTGCTCCAGCTGCAGGATCTCCTGGGCCTTCTGCTCCACGGCGTCGGCCCCCAGCAGGCTGAGCAGGCGCTCCATGAACACCCGGTAGGCGGCCAGGATCTGACGGAGCCCGAGAGGTGGGGTCAGGGCCAGGTCCTGGTCCACGCCTCCTGGACCCAGGCCCTCTCTCAAGCCCACCTCAAGCCCCCATACCTTCTCGCTCTCTTCATCCTGAGCTAAATACAGGGTCCTCTCGGGCAGGGTGAGCCCGTCCTGGTCAATCTGGGAAGGGAGGTCAGAGGTCAACATGCCAGGTTCCTGCAAACACTTAGTCCCACCCAGTGTCGGAAGTACTTGCCCACTGACACAAGTCCCCACAGCGCATCCACTAGGCCCTCCCCCACACACGGGAGCTGGTCAGAGCCCCCACACTGGCCTGGGGGTGCCAGGAGGTCCCCCCAATCTTTCCTCTGGTTAGCTTTCCCTTCCCCAGCCAGTGAGGGGCATTAGCCGGCTGCCCTCAGAGTTGTCTTCCCCCCCACATTCGGGGCTGACCCAGCCGTGCAGGGCGGTCGTCCAGGCCCACCGATGTACCCCTCCCTCCGCTCTCACCGCCTGCCAAAGGGCTGGGAAATTGCGGCTCCCGCAGCTCCGCTAAACACCGCAATTACTCTGGGGAAATTACTTGAGCCCTCCTCCCGGGCTCTGTGGCCCACGCTCTGCCTCTCCCCCCTCCCGTTCTGCACCGGTCGCGGGGTGCAGGAGGGTGGGGAGACGTGCGTGCGGGGTCTAGGCGCCCGGGAGCCGAGGGGGCACTCACGCGGATGACGTAGCGCGAGGAGTTCCTGTCGTCCAGGCTGACGGTGAGCGAGAAGAGCGCGGCGGCGCTGTACACGCCCTGAGCCTTGTAGAGCAGCCGGTTGAGGTCCCAGCGCGCCGCCGCCTCCGGGCGCCCCGCAGCGCCGCCCAGGTCCCAGCCCCCGCAGTCCTCAATGACCTCGAGCATGGGCCTCGGGCCCAGGCGCTCGATCTCGCGCATGTCGAGGCAGGAGCGGAAGAAGGCGCGCACCTTGCGCTGGGCCGAGCCGCCGGGCCCGCCCCCGGGCCGAGCCAGCAGGCGCCGCAGGCGCTCCTCGTTCTGCTCGCCGATGGCCGCGATGGTGCCGTACGTGAGCTTGTCGTCGGGGATGGCGTGGCGTCGCAGCCAGCCACCGCACGCGAAAGAGTAAAAGTCCTGGCAGGGGTCTATGCTGGAGTCCAGGTTGGCGGCCAAGAAGCGGGCAGCGCGCGCGAAGGCCTTGCGCTCTGGGCAGCCCTCGGAGCAGGCGCCGCCGCCCACCGCGCCGGGGCCCAGGTACTTGAGCGCCAGCATGGCGGCCAGGATGGCGCAGAGGCCGGCGGCGAACACCAGCCCCGACAGCAGGCACACTTCGCGCCGGTTCCAGCGCGGCAGACCCGCCCGCGCCCCAGGGGCGCTGCGCCCCGCGCCCAGCGGAAAGTCGGGCGGCAGCGAGGTCCCGCGGGAGCCCCCGGTGCTGCACCGGCTCACGTACTTGACCTCCTGGAACTCGTCGTAGTGCGCGGTCATCGAGTACGGGGCCTCCATGGCGCCAGCCGCACGGCGCGAAGCCCTTGGCGGCCTGCGCTACGGGAAGCACCCCGCCGCGGGGCTCCCCGCTGGCCTCCTCATGGCCCGCGGGCCGCTGCTGTGGGAAGAGAAGGCAGGCTCCAGAGAGGCGCGGGGACCGACGGGAGGGGTGCAGGCCAGGTCCGGGGGCTGGAAGTCAACGGGAGCCCCGGCAGCTTGGAGAATGAGCAAAGGGGAGGCTCAGAGTGGCCCCCAGCTCCTGAATACAGCGCGGCCCCCTCTGGCCAGCCTCCCCTGTGCCAGCGCCCTTAAGCCAGCTGCCGGCTGGGCGCCCCGACATAAAGCACCGGGGGCTCCCCGCTCGCGGCCTGGCGCAGAGTAAGCGCTCGGTGAAAGGCTGTTTCTCTTCTCTTTCTCGCCCGCGACCTGCCACAGCCGAGGCCGGGCGGGGGAGGGGGAACGCGGCGCCGAGAAAAGAGGTGCGGTCAAGCGCGCGTCTATGCGGATCCCCAAACCGGCTTCAGCTCCCCTCCCTGGAGCTAGACGGTAAACGAAGCGCACTCTGTTCTCGAGGATGCCCATAGGACCCCCCTCCGCCCCATTTCCTTCCTTTCGATGATCGGAGCGCCCCGTTCCCTACCCGCGCCGCCCTGCGCCCGCTGGCCTGTCCAGGCCCGCACCCAAGAGTGAGCCCCGACGGTCCTAAGAACCGGAACCGGCTCCGTCCCTCCCCCGCCTCCGCCCCGGGTCACTCCAGATTTCAACAGGTTCTCTCCGGAACCTAAACTTGGGCGAAGTTTCGCCCCCCGCGCGGAGCCACCGGCCCCCAGTCCTGGGCGCGCCGCGCCGCGCCGCCGCACAGTCGCAGAGGCGGGAGCGGAGCCCGGGAGTCGTTTCCCGCAGCCCGAGCCGGAGTCGCGAGGACGCAGACAAAGCCCGGAGGCTCTGCGCCGCGGCGGCTGCGGGGGTGGTGGCGGCGGTGGCCGCGGGCCACAGCGTGGAGGAGGCGCGGGACGACCCGGTGCTGAGGCGCCTCGAGTACTTCTGCATCGCCTGGTTCAGCTTCGAGGTGTCCTCGCGGCTCCTGCTGGCGCCCAGCACGCGCAACTTCTT